CAGCAGGGGAGCCACATGGACTCATGTGTTGCGTAGTGTTTGGCGTAACCATAAGCTATGTAAGTGCTACGGACGAGAGATGTGTTATAACCGACTGTGTTCTACTGTGTGTGAGTTCGACTACCGTAATCGGTGATGTCCACCATGTTCTACCGTAGGTATTAATGGACGCGTATGTGTCCTAATAGGAAAATACGGTGTGCGAAGGTGCGTTGACAGTGCGAACGGCCGATGCGGAAATGGTGGGTGTGTGTTAACGCTCCTGACACTGGTAGAGCGGTTTCTGAGCAATTGATTCGCGAGTGACAGACCAGCCCGATACCCTATGTGCATGCGTTATGACCATGAGAGCGAGATAGTTCGGGGGTATTGAGTCGGTAGATGTTCTGCTGCTGATATTGATTATCTAGCTGTGAGGACTCGGAATGGGAGTGTTGATGGGTGCGCGTGTTAGTTGTGTTGGCGTCGCGGTGGATTCCGTTGTCATGAATGTGCACGTAGCCCAATAGACTCATGCGCTGTGTGAATGTGCGAGACCAGTGGAGGTGGCGGTCTCTGCTGTTTGTCAATCTCTGTGCGATGGATTCGCAAGTGACCGATCAGACCGATGCGTGAGATGAATGCGCGACTACGATGAGGACAAGTTAGAATAGAATCTTCATTGCTGATGAAGGGGCGGTCTTGGTGTGGATACCGGGTGACAGGATGCCGGAGATGGTCTCAGTTGTGCTGGGCGTCGTGATCGACGCGGGAGTTACGACAGGCAGGGTGGTGCCGGTGATCGAGAATGGCGATGCATCGGCAGTGAGAACACCGACGGTGGGGATGATTGTCGCCGTGGAAGCTGCGGGGTTTGGAGCAGGGATGACAGTAAGGGTATGTTGTTGCGTTGTTTCAGAGGATGGTCGGCGAAGCCGATGCGCGCACGTAATGTGCATTCACAGCGTTGGCATGTTCCGCACTAGTCTCTGCTCTTATTCAGGCCGGTTGGCCCTGATTTAGGCCCTTCCAGGTCGCCGGGTTGGTTTTCAGTCGCTTCAGGGAGATATTAAAGGTGTCCTTGCTTCTTTTTCGTCCTTATCAGTGAGCACCCACAGCGGCATCGCCGTAGACGAGTCATTTGTATGGTCGCTCTTCGTCCATCCTCACCAGGTGGCCGCTCTGTCGCAGTTGCATCAGTATGGCATTAGTGCTGCGGATTTCTGTACGTTCCAGAAATTTCGTGTCCGGAATCCTGTTCTACCATCTCAGCTTCAATATTTTGCGGAGCCAATGGAGAGGGACGTGATTTATTTCCCGAGCATGGTTGTAGTAAACAGTCCAGGTCTCTGCTCCGTACAGGATTGTCGCCAGGACGACGACGTTACAAATCTTCGGTTAAGTGTTCGGGTGAAGACCGTGAGGATCCCACCCAGAGGCTTGCAGCCGACCAAACGCCTGGCTAACTTTGGAGATCCAGTGTGCAGCTTCGTCGTCGAGTCTGGTGTTGCGCGAGCTTGCTTACAAGGTAAGCGAAGTTGCCCACAGTTTTGAGTTAAGTGTCGTTGACGTTGGTTGGAGGAACGTTTTATTCAGCGTGTCGACTGTTAGTCCAAAGTTTGCGCAACCGGCGGCAAGGAGGCCCATGCTCCTTTCCATATCGTTTCCTATGGCGGTGCTGAGTGCGCAGACTTCCACAAAGAGCAGGTCCCAGACTGTAGCCTCGAACACATTTGTTGGGCCTACTGTTGCGAAGGTGCCCGCCAGTCCTGTATGCGATGCGGATCCCAAGGTACTAATCACGGTAGGCGTCTATCAACATAGCAGAGAACATGATATTGAAGAGGGTAGGCGGCAGAACGCAGTCATGCTTCACTCCATTGGCCCCTGCGAAGGCTTCGGACACCGATCCGTTGTCAGTGACCCGTGCCGCTATCCCGTCGTGGAGTTGTCGAAGCATGTGCGCGGACCCCTTAGGACAGCCGAATCTCTGCATGGTTTCCCGGACTTCATTGTAGTTAACTGTGCCAAAGGCTTTCGTCAGCTCCAAAAAGATGGGGGTATAGGTGGGTTTGCATCTCCTGACACTTCGTTTGCAGTTGACGCACGGCAAAGACCACCTCGGTCACATTGGCTTTCCGGGAGTAGTTCCTACCCTAGTTGGCTGTTAAAATGATTAAGAAGAATATGTGCAAAGATTCTTCAGGTAATGTTGAGCATTGAGATGCTTCCATGGTTAGTACCGAGTTGTCGGTTTCCCTTCTGCTTGTAGAGACGGACGATGGTCACGTCTTTGAAACCCTAAGGAACCTGTCCTTGGTTTCAACTCTCTCGGAATGACGTTGTAAGTTCCGCCATTAGCCGGGGCCACCACGCTTATAGACATTCGTTGGGGCTACGTTAGATTCCTTCTCTTTCCCGCTGGAAATTTTTTGCACGGCCAGTATGGTTTCTGATAGGGAAGACGGGAAGTCCAAGTCACTGTTCATTAACACATAGGGTAACCGGTTGAGGACACTATCTGAAATGGTTGATTAGCAATTGAGGACACCTCTGAAATGTTCGGCCCAGCGCTTCAGGATTTGTGGTCTCAGCGTCAAAATTGTTATGCCACTGGAAATGAGCAGCGGCGTGGATCCTTTGCTGCAGAGGTTGTAGGTGGCCTCGATAGATTTGAAGAAGTTTTTCCTTTCGTTGCGCTGTGCATAGCCTAAGATGCCCTCAGCCTTGTGGGCCATCCAGGCGTCCTGCATCTCCCTAAGCCGTTGCTGTACAAGGCGGCGGCATCTAAAGGAGACTGTTTTGCTGGCGTTAGTCCGGTGGTCCATGTAGGCCTTGCGTAGTCGAATCTTCCCGGCGAATAATTTGCTGATGTTGGCATCATTGTCGTCAAGTCAGTCCCAACAGTGTTGATGGCGTGCGTGTCCAAGGACGGTAGTTTCTCAGTTGACATTAGCGGTGATGTTATCATGTGCAGTCTGTAGATCCTGCTGGTTTAATTGGTTGCTGCATTCAGGATAGTGAGCAAGTAAATTTAACAGAAGATTATTTACCTTGCTTAGTGGTCGTTTGCCTTTGTCTACTGTCATAAATAACACATCCGCCCTCTCGCCTGCCGCAATACGTCCGAGGCCTGCGACCATGAGCACAACCACTGCTGAGTGAATTTCGAGGCCTAGCTGCTGCTGCCCAACAGCATTCCCGCCACAACCCTTGCTCA